ATTTTGCAATCTTGTGCCCTGTCATCTGAAGCCAGAGGCAAAAGAGTGGCAGAGTTTAGATGACTGGACCTAGAGATTGTAATGTGAAGGGCAGAATTAGGGGGATGCTGACCTTTGACTGTCATCTATACCCTTAATCCCCTAGAAGTTCCCCTGCCCAATACATCGGTTCTACTTGCTTCTGGAGTCTCAATTACCTGAGCCCACCGCAGCCTAAGCACATGAAAGCAGTTTTCTTTAATTCAGCAGTGGTTTTGGAGAGCTTTTTATCTTCTTCCTATAGGGAAAGAGCTTTGTCAGAGCCTCTCTTGAACAGGTCCACCATTGGAAGTAACTCTCCCAGTTATTGTTTAATTTTAGAGCTGTTTTTCTAATTGTGTGTGTAAATAAGCTAATTTAGGTATTTCAAAGGTATCTCATTTTGGTCATTGTAGTTTGGTGTCTTCACGGGTTAAGACTATTTCTCTAGATATTGACAGGAGATGGCCCCGTAAGTATTGCATAGGAATCCAACCGGAGTTTCCACAGGTGGATCTCTCCTTTCAGAAGGAAGATGCGGTTTTACATAGATAACTGCCCATAAATTAGGTTCTTTTTAAGCTGAAAGGGAAAGATGTTTTGGATCTGGTGTGCTGCCTAATGAGGATTACTCCTCAAGGTGTCATCTATGAGTTGCTTCTCCCCTGTTAAGCGTCTTGGCAAAACCATGAATCCTGGGTGCTTAAGGCACTGGGAGAGCAGCCTTTCATGGGGTCCCCTGGGTTAAGCAAGATTCCCCCCGTGTTCTTTTTTGAGGATTGCCTATGGGACCATTGCACATCACGAGCAATGAGCTCAAACACTCCCACAAGAACCTAGTTGCCTAAGGTATGTTTTGTCCAGGAAGAATAGTGTTCCTTATCTTTGGGATTTATCTTTGTTCTAATTAAAAGCTTTCCATTGGCTTTGGCCACTCAAAAAGGGACTTTAGATATGTCAAATGAACCCAGCTTCTGAGTTTAGCCAGTTTGTTTTTTTTTTTTAATTACAAACTTTGCTTAAACCACAAAAAATTCACTTCCTCTTTCCAGAGAGAGAAATGGTTTCCTTCCCTGACCATAGTGCGAATGAGAGAAAAGGCTATACGAACTCTAATGCATAGTTCAACAAACAACTCTTAACCTCAGAAAAAAGTGAAAATCACAAATCTATAGGACAGGCACAGTAGCTCATGCCTGTAATCCCAACCCTTTGAAAGGATCACTTGAGGCTAAGAATTTGAGACCAGCCTGGGCAACATAGTGAGACCCTGTCTCTACAAAAAATAAATTAGCCAGGCATGGTGGCCCCGCACCTATAGTCCCAGCTTCTTGTGAGACTGAGTTGGAGGGATTCCTTGAGCCTAGGAGTTTGAGGCTGCAGTGAGCCATGAGTGCACCATTGCACTCCAACCTGCACAACAGAGCAAGACCCTGTCTATAAAAAAACAAGACCCTGTCTATAAAAATGAAACAAAACAAAACACAAAGTAAACAAAACAAAATCTGAAAATAGCTGAATCTCTAGAGAACAAAACCCAAAACCTTACCTGGTTTAAAGCAGAGCTTTAATTCCACCTCTGTTGAGCGTGAAATTAGGTGGCTTGAATAAAGTCTGAATATCAACAAAAATCAGGGAGATTTGAGGTTGAAGAGGAACCTCACCAGAGACGACTCCTGGCTCTAGTGAGGTCGCATGAACAAAAGTCATTTGTGCTGATACCAATGCCCTGATTGTTGTTGGTGAAATGGTGGGGATCACTGGAGGCTTGCTTTGGGTCCCATCTGGGTAACCAAAATGTCAACCTAAAATAATCAAAAGGGTCAGAATCTAGTTTAAAGTGTTCAAATGCAAAGTGTGAAGATAGCCACCTAGGAAGCACAGACTCCAAAAAATGGAAGTGAGTGTTCTGAAGTGTCGAATTAGTTTATCTTTGGCCAGTGGGAACCTATTTAAGTTGTCTTTTGAATCTTTTGAGCAATCTCAGTAATCTCTGAGAGTCTCCTTATTGTCTGGTATGACAGAATGTTCTAGGCTCATCCTCTACTTTTTCTTTCTCAGACTTGGAATCAGCCATTTTTTCTTTTTCTTTTTCTTTTTCTTTTTTTTTTTTTTTTTGAGATGGAGTCTCGCTCTGTCACCCAGGCTGGAGTGCAGTGGCAAAATCTTGGCTCACTGCAACCTCCACCTCCTGGGTTCACGCGATTCTCCTGCCTCAGCCTCCTGAGTAGCTGGGATTACAGGCACCTGCCAGCAAGCCTGGCTAATTTTTGCATTTTTAGTAGAGACCAGGTTTCACCTTGTTGGTTAGGCTGGTCTCGAACTCCCGACCTCGTGATCCACCCGCCTCAGCCCCCCAAAGTGCTGGGATTGCAGGCGCATGATTGCTTTGATTTAGAAGTGATTAATAGAAACAGCAATATGAAAATTAAGACTCCTTATTGCTCTTAGGTTGATCTTTTCAGAGGATAGAGGTAGGAAATACATATATATATATATGTATATATAATACATCATGAATTTATACTGATATATATTCAAATATAGAATAGGACTTTTAACTAAATCTTCTGCATCTTACATTTGTATCTCCTTTCTCTCATGTCAAAAATCCTGGTTTCTGATGGCACCAAGACAATTACTTATTTACTTAATCTCACAATACACCCAACAGTCTCAGAACAACAATACCTACCACTAGTGTCAGTGATTTGATAATTTTAAGATTTATTTGCAGTTCTTTTTGTCCTCAGAGTATATCTCAATAGAAATTTGTAGTCAGTTTACAATGTTTCAAAGTCATTTGGAATAGTACCTCCATATGGTTTTGCCATCCACCTGATACACAGTTGCATTTACTTGATTAATTTTGCTCTCAATTGTTAAGTATCTCATTTTGTTATGTTTAATTTTATTTTGCAATTATGCAAAATATTTACACTCTACCAAATTCAAATATATATTCAAGGTATATGTATACAAGGTATATTCATAGAAGTATTACTTTGACCCTGTCCCTTCTTCTTTTTTCGTCATTCTATTGCTCAGGCTGGAGTGCAGTGGTATGACCTTGGCTCACTGCAACCTCCTCCTCCTGGGTTCAAGTGATTCTTGTGTCCCAGCCTCCTGAGTGGCTGGGATTACAGGCATGCACCCCATGCCCAGATGGGAAACCCCATCTCTATTAAAAATTTTTGTATTTTTAGTAGAGTTGGGGTTTCCCCATGTTTGTCAGGCTGGTCTTGAACTTCTGACCTCAGTTGTTTCACCCACTTCGTCCTCCCAAAGTGCTGGGATTATAGGCATGAGCCACCATGCCTGGCCTTGCCCCTTCTATATAATTCCTTCTTTCATCATAGGTAACCATTTAAAGAACTATATATGTTAAGCCTTCCATCCCTTTAAAAAAATTTAAGGACTTATCTGAAGATGATTCCATGGTAATATAGAGATAATTCTCATTTCTTTTTGTAGCTGCCTTATACTCCATGGTGTGGCTGTATCCTGATTTATTCTTTGTTGAATCCATTATCTATTATAGATATTTGGATTGCTTCCAAGTTTATTATTATTAATGGTGTTGCAATGCATGGCCTTGTGCATCTTCTTATATTTTTGCCAGTGTATCTTTTGAATAGATTACTCAACATGGGATTGCTGAGTAAATATCTAGCAAGGTATCAGCAAATCTTCCTCTGGAAGAGAGGTGCAATTTTGCATTCCCACCAGTAGAGCAAAAGTGCTTGCTTCCCCAGAGTCTGGTCAACTGTGTATGTGATCAAACTTTTGGATTTTTCCCATCCAATGATAAATGAGAACCAGAATCTCAGAGAAGTGTAAAATTATACTTCTCTTATTATTAGCACTGTTGAGCTTTTTGTAGGTCACTTGAATTTGCTTATCAATTGTTTCTTAGCTTTGTTTGGCAATACAGTGTCATAGGTTTTTTTATTCTCAAATTCTAAAAGCTCTGTTTACGTGAAGAATATTTGCTCTGTGTAATGTAAGTGACACATATTTTCCCTGGTTTGTCATTTGTCCCCTTTTTACATTACTTATGACGCTTCTCACATACAAAGGTTTCTAACTTTATTTTATTTTTTACATCATCAATTTTGTCAGTTCTTTCTCTTTTTACTTCTGGATTTTGAGTCATGATTGGGAACATTTTTCCAAGTGTCATGTAATAAAGCAATTCACTCATGTTTCATGTAGTATTTGTATGGTTTCGTTTTACCACATTCCTGATACACTTGGAATTTATCTTGTTTTATAGTCTGAGAAATGGATCCATTTCCCCCTTTTAAAGTATAGCTATCTATCTGTTAATAGTTATCCTAATACTACTCACTTAAATGTTCATCTTTTCCTCACTAATTTGAGATGCTGACTTTATTATATGTTAAAGTTTCATATGCAGTTGTATTCATTGCAGGGTTTTCTGTTCTACTGAAGGTATCACTAAGGGTTATGACTAAAGTTTGAATTCTAGTTAAATGAATAAGCAGGTCCTTATTCATTTAACAGGTCTGTGTTGCCCAGAGCACAGGAGAAGTTATATAGAATTGTATTAGCCATTGTCTCTGCAGGATAAAAGACATGAAACATTTTGGATGTTTAATGAATAGTTACATGAGTGACTCAATTAAAAAAGTAAATTAGTAAATGATCAAAGAAATACGCTTGAGATATATATTTGGAACAGGACAAAGTTTCTATGAAATAGCAATTAGTGACAATGCAGTGGTGAACAGTATAACAGGGAGAAAATAATGGTATTTATAATCTATCTGCTTAGAAAAAGAATAACTTTGTTGCATATATTTTAAAATGTGAAACTCTGAGAACTTGTGTGTAAATCTTAAAATACACTCAGATAATTTCATTATATTGAAAATTCTTACTACTGTATTGAAAATAAACCAATGATTAATCCTTTAGTGAAGAGAATCTTTTTTTTTTCAATTGTGAATAATTGTAATTTAAATGAGATGTTTTCTTGGTTCAAATTTTGTGTGTAAGATTTTTTAATCGTGAGGCACATTGATGTGTTTTGAAAACAGAGTGTAACAAAAACAGTGACCATTTCTCCTTTGAGAGTGAAAGTAATGACATAAAAAAATAATTAATCTAGGTTTTCATTACACTGAGAAGACAATTCGTAGGCACCATTGTCCAGAAATCTTTGAAAAAATGCCTAATTAGTGTTCTCATCTAGCTTGGAAGAGCCAGAATTCTGAAGGTGTCACCCTGACTTTTGAAGGATTGTACACGTAATTCAACATAGCTGTGTGTGAAGAGCTCTTCACACATCTCCGCCTTTCTTTTAGTTTGACATACAGCACTGCAAAAGAAGTTAATTAATAGTTTTGTAAATAAATTACTTTAGGAGGTACACAGAGAAATTAAAGAAGTGGCGGGAAAGGTAGGAAAAGCATTAAGCGAGAAGGAAAATTGACAAGATTGAGAAAGGAACTTCTCCATCTGGCTAAAGATTCAGGGCTCAAAATTCCTTTTCCAGCCATGACTGGAGTGTGTGGAAGGAAATGACAGCTAGTCCTCACTAAGCACCTGGTGAACAGAAAGGCTCTTTCCATGGTGTTAACTTTGCAGTAGTTCTCTGGGTTTTCTTGCTTTAGGATGTTATAATCAAGACGTATTGAAAGTGTAGCTTCTCTTTTTGTAATCTTGCGATTCTGAGAACCAGCAGTACGAAATGTAGAGAGCAGTGAGATGAAAAACAGCTTGGGAAGAGCAGCCTACTTTATTTTCTCTTACAGCTTGAAAATATTTTTGTTTTGTTGAGAGGCCAAGGTTTGAATTGGCCCAATTCATATTAATGTGGTTTTACCACCCTTACTAAGTATACTTAACCTCTCCATTGGACATTTTCCATCTCTTTATTTATTATTATTATTATTATTATTTTTAACTTGAACTAGCCCTTAGTTTCACAACATTGGCTGCCCTCCCTAGGGGCATGAAAGTTACCTGAATGAAGTTTAACTCTAAAACATACAGTAAACCTTTTAAATTTGGTCACACTTGCCTCTGAGCCACTGTTAATACAACTAAATGGATGCCAAAGTTATTGTGAAAAACATTTTTTCCCTATTCTTTTAATCCTCTTATGTCAAATGGATAAGTGAATTTGTAGAGTATCATCATTCAAATTTGTCCTTGTTCTTCCTGCAGTTTTAACTATAATCTCAACCTCAGAAAATGAAAAACTTCTTCCAACATCTTTGCAAATAATTTCTCTTGTCTATGAAACATTTTATGGCAAAAATATGAGGGAATTATAAGGCTTATGGACCCAGTAAAGGTTTGTGCTGAATGTCAGTTGAGGTGCATGGCAGAGGGGCCAAGTGAAGGCAAAGAAAGCAGGTGGGGAAATAGAAAACATTTTTAGTACCTGGTACAACTTAAATTTGCTACAATAGCTTTGTAAGACCCCATTGTGGGAAGATGCTCTGGTGAGGCTTTTTCTGCATCTGGGAATTTTACCATGAATTTCAGGTCTCAACTAGGAAAAAATCTTCACTCAACTTGGTATTCTGGACTTTTCAGGTGTTGTGTCTTTTTGACAGCAAGAGAATAAGATATTTTCATTTATCGGCTCCCAGAAAAGTAAATATTGTTATTTTGAAGGGGTATGTGTTACAGGAGCATCTCACCATGTGCTTCCCCTTCGGATATATTTTAATTCATTTAAAGATAGCCTTAAAAAACAAATATTAGGGACAGTTTTAAGGGGTGGTGATTTTGAAAGTCAGAAACCCTAAGACTGGGTGTGATGATGATTTTAAAAAATTCTTTTATTCACTTATTTTGCAGACAACTATTCAACACCTGTTCTATGCCAGGCACTGTGTTAGCTACTGGAAATGAAACAATGGCTAATATAGTTATAGTTCCTGCCTTTTACAAGGCTTGGTATCTAACAAGGAAGTGAGGTAATTAAACAAATAACGTAAGAGTACATACATTTTGTGATAGATAATCATGTAGTTTGTCATTCAAACTGGGACCTGAAGATGAAAGGGGAACTCTTAATAATTACCCTGGGCCAAGAGGTTTAAACCGAGATCACCCTGGGCAAAAGGAGATGCTTCTGACCTTAGGGTTAAGAGATCCAGAGATGGTTACAGGACTGTGTATAAGGATCACTTAATCCAGTCTGTATGTGGTGATGGTGGGAGAAAGATTTTTAGGAAGAAATTATGTTGTTACTCATGGGACTGCTTCTTCAGGTGGGTTCTCTCCTGCGGCTCTCTAATGACTGCCTGTACCTCTGGAAGCCAAATGCTTTATATTTTTATGACCAGGTGGGAGAAAGGAGTCTGCTACCCCAACAGCTCAACCCAAGTCTTAGATTTGAGTCTTATTGGCCGGATGGACTCATGTGCCCATCTCTGAACCAATCACTGTGGACCGGGGAATGGAATATGGAGACTGGCCTATCCTTATAACAGGCGAATTCAGGATAGTGTTAGGGAGGGGAATGGGTTAATAATAAAGCAGTTGGCAGATACTACTTAGCCCAAGGCCTGGTGGCTAGGCTGGTTCTCTTCTTTCTAATCGGAGGCCTCTACCACAAACATGCTCCGCCAGATCATCAGTCAGGCCACGGCATCCGAGCTTGATCCCCCTCTTTGTATTTATTGGAGCTGGAGATACGGGAGCAGCACTGTATCTTTTGCATCTGGCATTGATCAATCCGGATGTTAGTTGGGACAGAAAGAATAACCCAGAACCCTGGAACAAACTGGGTCCCAGTGATCAATACGAGTTCTATTCAGTGAATGTGGATTACAGCGAACTGAAGAAAGAAGGTCCAGATTTCTAAATGAAATGTTTCACTATAAAGCTGCTTTAGAATGAAGGTTTTCCAGAAGCCATCTGCACAATTTTCCACTTAATATATTTCTCCTCTAAATACATGAAATAATGTTGATGTAACCTACTGGAGATTATACTGATTAATAAATAACTGAAACTTGAAAAAATAATAAAGCAGTTCTTTTTTTTTTTTTGAAACGGAGTCTTGCTCTGTGGCCCAGGCTCACGGCAACCTCCACCTCCCGGGTTCAAGCGATTCTCCTGCCTTAACCTCATGACTAGCTGGGACTACAGGGACGTGCCCCCATGCCTGGCTAATTTTTTGTAATTTTAGTAGAGACGGGGTTTCACTGTGTTAGCCAGGATGGTCTCGATCTCCTGACCTTGAGTTCCGCCCGTCTTGGCCTCCCAAAGTGCTGGGATAAAGCAGTTTTTATATATAGCACTTATTATGTGCTAGTTATTGTTCTACGAGTTTAATGTGTTGTATTTTTAATTCTCCTAAAAACGCTTTGAGCTAGAAATTATTAATGTCCTCATTTTACAGCTAAAGGGACGGAGGCACAGGGAGGTTAAGGGACTTTCCTGATGTCCCACATCTGGTAAGTGATTAAGCCAGAATTCCAACAAAGGCAACTAGCTCTTATCCGTTACACTCTACCACCCGGACATCCTGTACAGCAGGAAGTTGGTCTGATTGAATTGAAGAGTGTGAAGGCGAATGGTGGGAAATACTGCTCTCCAGTAATGGTTGGTTTGCCTTCCTACACCAGAAAAAAACAATTACATCATGTTTAAAAACACTAATAGCTGCTTTGTTGAGAGATAATTTACAGACCATACAATTCACCCATTTAAAGTATACAGTTTAGTGATTTTTAGTTTCAGAATCCATGACTAATCGTTTTTTGTTGTTGTTGTTACAGAGTTGGGAAATCTGTAACAACCCAATAAATTTTAGGACATTTTCATCCTCCTGAAAAGAAACCATTAACAGTCACTCTCATTTTCCCCACCCCTTCCAGCCCTAGGCAACCATGAATCTACTTTCTTTCTCTGAAGATTTGCCTATTATAAATATTTCATGTAAGTGAAATCGTACAATATGTGGTCTTTTATGACTGGCTTCTTTTTCAGTGCTTACTCATGTTGTAGAATGTATCGGTATTTCATTCATTTTTATGGCCTAATAATATGACATTGTATGGATATATCACATTTTATTTATCCACTCATCAACTGTTGGATATTTACGTTGTTTCTAGTGTGTGGCTATTATGAATAATACTACTATAAACATTCATTTATAAATTGTTTAGGTATATACCTAGGAATAGAATTGCTGAGTCATATGGTAACTCAGAGGAACTACCAAATCTTTTTCCGCAGTGGCTGCATCATTTTAAATTGCCACCAGCAGTCCCGATTTCTCCATGTCCTTTTTGAATACTTGTTATCTGTCTTTTTAAAAAATGTATATGATTAGCACCTAGTAGGTGTGACATTGTATTTTATCATGGTTTTGATTTGCATTTTCCTGATGACTAATGATGTTGAGCATGATTTAATGTGCTTATTGTTCATTTGTATATCTAGTTTGGAGAACTGTTCAGATATTTTGCTCATTTTTAGTTGGGTTTTCTTTTCATTACTGAGTTGAAATAGTTCTCTATCTATTCTAGATATACATACCTCATCAGATATACAATTTGCAAATATTTTCTCCCATTTTGTGGGCTGTTCTTGAACTTTCTATGTGATATCCTTTTCAGTACAAAAGTTTTTAAATTTAATGATTTTCAATTTTTCAATATTTTTCTTGTTTTTGATTGTGCTTTTGGTTTCATATCTAAGCAATCATTGCTAAATTCAAAGTCACAAAGATTTATAGTTATGTTTCCTTCAAAAGTTTTACAGTTAGCTCTTACATTTAGGTTTTAGATTCATTTTAAGCTAATATTTGTATATGGTGTGAGTTAGTGGTCCAACTTGCTTTTACACATGGATATCCAGTTGTCCCAACACCATTTATTTAAAAAATTACTCCTTCTCCATTGAAATATCTTGGCACTCTTGCTGAAAAATCAATCAAAACCAACACAATGGTTTATTTTTGGACTTTCAATTCTGTTTTATTAATCTACATCTTTCCTATACCAGTACCATATTTTCTTGGTTACTGTAGCTTCGTAGTAAATTTTGAAATCAGGAAGTGTGAGCCCTCCTACTTGGTCTTTTTCAACATTGTTTTAAATATTCTGGATTAATTAAATTTTCATTGAATTAATTGAATTTTGGGATCAGCTTGTCAATTTCTGTGAAGAAGCTAGCTGTGACATTGATAGGGATTTTGATAAATCTATACATCAATTTGAGAAGTATTGCCATCTTAACAATATTGTTATCTTCCAGTCCATGAACATGGGATGTATTTCTGTTTACTTGGGTATTCTTTAATTTATTTAAATAATGTTTTTTGGTTTTCAGAGTATAAGGCTTCCATTTCTTATGTTAATTGTACTCCTAAGTATTTTTTAATGCTATTACAAATGGAATTGTTTTCCTAATTTTATTTTTGGAATGCTGATTATAAGCATATAGAAATTCAATTGACTTTTGTGTAATGATCTTGTATTCTGCAACTTGCCAAACTCATTCATAAGTTCCAATATTGTTTTTAATGGATTCCTTAGGATTTTCAGTATATGTGATCTTGTCATCTGCAAATAGAAATAGCTATACTTTTTCCTTTTCAATCTGGATGCCTTTTATTTTATTATGTTGCATAACTGCTCTAACTAGAGCTGCTAGTGCTAGTTTTCTTTTCTGTGATGTCTTCATTTGGTTTCAGTATCAGAATAATACTGGCCTCATTGAATCAGTTGGGAAGGTTTCCCCTTGCTTCTGTGTTTTGGAAGAGTTTATAAAGAATGCTATTAATTATCACTTTTTTTAACTTGTTTTTTTGAGACAGAGTTTTGCTCTGTCACCCAGGGTGGAGTGCAGTGGTGTGATCTTGGCTCACTACAACCTCTGCCTCCTGGGTTCAAGTGATTCTCCTGTCTCAGCCTCCTAAGCTGCTGGGATTATAGGCATGCACCACCATGCCAGATAATTTTTATATTTTTAGTAGAGAGGATGTTTCACCATATTGGCCAGGTTGGTCTTAAACTCTTGACCTCAGGTGATCTGCCTGTCTTGGCCTCCCAAAGTGCTGGGATTACAGGCATGAGCCACCACACCTGGCCTAATTCTCACTTAAATGCTTGGTAGAGTTCACCAGTAAAGTCATCTGGGCCTAGTAATTCAATTTCTTTACTTGTTATAGGTCTATTCAAATTTATATTCCTTCTTAGGTCAGTTTTGTTAGTTTGTGTCTTTGTGGAAGTTCTTATATTTCATCTAAGGTATTTAATTTGTTTGCATGCAATTGTTTATAATATTCCCCTATAATCTTATTTATTTCAGTAGAACTGTCCCTGCTTCATTTTTAATTTTAGCAATTTGAGTTTTCTCTTTTTTGCTTGGTCAGTCTAACTAAATATTTGCCAGATTTCTTATTCTTTTCAAAGATCCAGTTTTTGATTCTGTTGATTTTATTCATTATTTTTCCTAGCCTTTATACAGTAGTTTATTCTCTAATCCTTATTGTTTTCTTCCTTTGCTTGCTTTTTGTTTAGTTTGCTCTTCTTTTTCTGGTGCCTTTAGGAGGTATGTTAATGACTTGAGATATTTCTTATTTTTTAACATAAGCATTTTCAGTTATTAAATTTCATCTAAGCACTGCTTTAGCTGCATCCCATAAACTTTGGTATGTTGTGTCTTTATTTTATTTATCTGAGAATATTTTCTAATTTCACTTCTGATTTCTTCTTTGACTGATTGGTTATTTAGTATTGTGCTGTTTAATTTTCACAAATTTGTAAATTTTTCAAATTTTTTTGTTATCAATGTCTAATTTTACTACATTTTGGTTGGCAAACATACTTTGCATGATTTCAATTCTTTTAAATTTATTCAGGCTATTTTATGACTTAGCATATAGTCTGTTAATGAAAGTACCAAACTCTAAAATATTTTAAAGAAGTTTATTCTGAGCCAATATGAATGATTGCAGCCTGGGGAAACACAGTCTTAAAAAGTCCTGAGAAAATGCACCCAAGGTAGTCAGATTACAGTTTGGTTTCATACATTTCAGGGAGGTAGGATGTATTAGTCTGTTTTCACACTGCTATAAAGAAATGTCTGAGACTGGGTAATTTATAAAGAAAAGAAGTTTAATTGACTCAGTTCCACATGGCTGGGGAGGCCTCAGGAAACTTACAATCATGCCAAAAAGGGAAGCAGGCACATCTTACATGCCTGCAGGCGAGAAAGAGCAAGAGTGAGCGAAGGGGGAAGAGCCCCTTATAAAACCATCAGATCTCATGAGAACTCACTCACTATCATGGACAGGATGGAGGAAACCACTCCCATGAGCCAATCACCTCCTACTAGGTTCCTCCCTCAACACATGAGGTTTATGGGGATTATAATTTGAGATGAGATTTGGGTGGGGACACAAAGTCAAACCATGTCATTGGAGTTATAAGTAAAGACATAAATCGCCGGGCGCGGTGGCTCAAGCCTGTAATCCCAGCACTTTGGGAGGCCGAGACGGGCGGATCACGAGGTCAGGAGATCGAGACCATTCTGACTAACACGGTGAAACCCCGTCTCTACTAAAAAATACAAAAAAAAAACCAAAAAAAAAAAAAACTAGCCGGGCGAGGTGGCGGGCACCTGTAGTCCCGGCTACTCGGGAGGCTGAGGCAGGAGAATGGCGGGAACCCGGGAGGCGGAGCTTGCAGTGAGCTGAGATCCGGCCACTGCACTCCAGCCTGGGTGACAGAGCGAGACTCCGTCTCAAAAAAAAAAAAAAAAAAAAAGACATAAATCAATACATGAAAGGTATATAGAGAGTCAGGCTGAAATGGGATATCTGAAAGCAGGGGACTTATTACAGGTTGTAGGTGGATTCAGAGATTCTTTAATTTCCAGTGGGTTAAAGAGTAAGGCTCAGTCTCTAACTCGGTGTGATTTAACCCTTGCCTTTCATAGCCTTCGGTCTTCTTTATAATTTGGTATTTTATTGCCACAGAGAGTCTGTTTTGTC